GCGGTTGCAATATCAACATATAACAATAAGAACAGCATCAAAAACTGCAATATAAGACAATAAAAGCGTAATGAATAAACAAAAGAAGTCAAAATATAAACACACCTCGTAAAAACAGAACAAGAATGCATGACCAACGATCGTACAGAAAGACACGTCATGCATAATGATAATGAAAATGATAATGATAATGATAACGATAACGATAATGATGGCGATGGCTCTGGTTATGATATTAGGCAGAGAATAGCTAGCTAGATAGATAGATAGATAGAGAGATAGAGAGAGAGAGAGAGAGGAGAGAGAGAGAGAGAGAGAGAGAGAGAGAGAGAGAGAGGAGAGAGAGAGAGAGAGAGAGAGAGAGAGAGAGAGAGAGAGAGAAAGAGAGAGAGAAAGAGAGAGAGAAAGAGAGTAAAGAGAAAGAAAGAGAGAGAAAAAGAAAGAAAAGAGAAAGAGAAAGAGAAAGAAAGAAAGAGAGATAGAGATAGACAAAGAGAAAGAAAGAGAGAGAAAGAGAAAGAAAGAGAGAAAGAGAAAGAAAGAGAGAAAGAAAGAGAAAACAGACAGATTGACATACAAAGACAAAAATCCAGAAACAGCTGCATGACCATTCACAAAAAAACTAGGGATATAAATGTCATGAGACCGAATATTCATGGAGGTAATGAGAACATGCATGACGCGCATGAATGTTATGTCTCACCGCCTTAGTTTCATTCTGGGGGGGGGGGGGAGAGAGAGGGGGTGTCATGGGGCGATGGTGGGGGGGGGAGGTATTGAAGGTGTAAATGTGACGCGATTTTTTTTTTTTTTTTTCTATTTCCATTTCTACTTATATTCGCCTTTTCATTATTTCCTCTTCTCCCTTACTTTCTTTCCCTCATCCTCCATCTCCTTCCATCCCTCCCATGCAACTCACCCCCCCACCCCAACCCCCACCCCACCCCCGTCACTTCTCAAGACGCAAAGTTCATTAAAAAAAAAAACGAAAAGACGAAAAACGAGAGAAAAAACGGGGGGGGGGGGGGGGGAGGGGGCCGAGGTAAAGCAACCCGCAATGTCACGATTTCTATTCATGAATTTTAAGGTTTGTTTATCCTGCCTATTCATGTCTTTAACGTGATTTGCTTATCCACGTGATGTACTAAAGAAGAAAAGGAGGGGGGAAGGGAGGGGGAGAGGGAGGAGGGAGGGGGAGAGGGAGGAGGGAGGGAAGAAGGAAAAGGAGAAAGGGAGGGAGGGAGGGAGGGAGGGAGGGAGGGAGGGAGGGAGGGAGGAGGGAGGAGGAAGGGAGGGAAGGAGGTGAGGGAGGAGAGGAGGAAAAGGAGAAAGGGAGGGAGGAGGGGAGGGAGGGAGAGAGAAAGAGAGAGGGAGAGAAGATGATGGACAGGAAATCGTGACTGACGACCGCCGTCTCCACTACGATCATCTAGCATCTCCTCCCCCCCTCTCTCTCTCTCTCTCTCCTCTCTCTCTCTCTCTCTCCTCTCTCTCTCTCTCTCTCTAGCTATCTATCTATCTCGTGTAGATCGCTCCCTCTCACCAACTTTAAGGTTAGACTTAAAGATACGAGTCACTAGAAATGAATTCCTTTAGTCTGTAAAATAAAATTGTTTTGACCGTAACGTGTCTAATAATTATAACCAAATATAATGTAATAATAATAAAACAAAATTGAATGTCTTTTCCCTCCCCCCCTCTACCCACTCCCCCCCCCCCCCGGTTCTCTTGCTGGATCTCAGTTGACCCTTCACTTACCCCTCCCTCTCCCCCCCCTCCTTCCCCCATCTCTTCTCCCTTCCTCTCTCTTTCTCCCCCTCCTTACCTATCACCCTTTCCCTTCTTCTCCCCCCTCCCTTTCCCTCTCTTTCCCCCCCCTTCCCTTCCCCTCCTCTCTCTTACCTTCCTCTCCTTTCCTCCCCCTCTCCTTCCTCTCCATCTCCCCCCACCCCCCCACCCTCTGCACCGGGACACACTTTTACTCCGGTGCCGCGACCAGCTGCCACGACCTATTATGGCAAGTTGTAATAAAAATCTCTAGTCGTCACAATTCCTTGACCCTACTCACCTCCCCCCTCCCTCCCCTTCCCCCCCTCTCTTCTCCCTTCCCCTCCCCTCCTTGACACCCACCGTCTTCCTCCCTTCCCCTCCCCTCGCCTCGACATACCCCCCCTTCCCCTTTCTCCGCCCCCCCCCCCCCTTGACACCTACCATCTTCCTCCCTTCCCCGCCCGCCACCCCCCTTCGACACCCATCCTCTTCCCCTCTAACCCCTCCCCCCCTCCTTACTCATGCTAATACCATCGTTCATGATGATATTGGCTGTTCTTCTGTCTGCGTGCTTCTGCGTGCGTGTCACTCACTGTCTCTGTCTAGCTTATATTCATATATATGACTCCTTAAATGCAGTTCCTCTTCGGTCTTCTGCTTCTGTTATCTTTCTCCTTCTGTTTCTCTTGTTCCTCCTTCGGTAAGATCTTCTCCATCCTCGTCTACCTCTACCTCCACCAACTCCCCCTCTTCCTCTTCCTCCTCTTCCTCCCCCCTTCCCCTCCCCCTCCTCCTCCTCCTCCTCCTCCTCCTCACCCCCCTCCTCTTCCTCTTCTTCCTCCTCCTCCTCCTCCTCCTCCCCCTCCTCCTCCTCCTCCTCCTCCTCCTCCTCCTCCTCCTCCTCCTCCTCCTCCTCCCCCTCCTCCTCCTCCCCCTCCTCCTCCTCCTCCTCCTTGGTCACTGGGCCGCAATCCGTCAGTGTCGCCGTATCATTACGTCGATTCAGGGAGTGAGGGGGGGGTGTAGGGGAAAGGGAGAAAGGGGGGGGGAGACGAGGAGGAGGAGGAGGAGAAAGAGCAGGAGGAGGAGGAGGAGGAGAAAGAGGAGGAGGAGGAGGAAGAGGAGAAAGAGGAGAAAGAGGAGGAGGAGGAGGAGGAATAGGAGGAGGAGAAAGAAGAGGAGGAGGAGGAGAGAAGAAAGAGGACTGAGGGAGAAGTGGAACGAAGGAAGGAGAACCAAGAGGATGATATGGAAGAGATGGAAGAGAAGGAGAAGAAGAAGGAGGAGGAGGAAGAGGAGGAGACTACCAAACCTACCTATAATTTGCCCCAAACGGAAAAAAGTGTGGCAGGTAGATAAACAGGGTAGGTGGGGAGGGGGGAGGTAAGGAGGTGGGTAGGTGGGTAGGTGGGTAGGTAGGTCAGTGGGTAGGTGGGGAGGTGGGGAGGGGGAGTTGACAAGGAGGTGATTAACTTTCCAACTCAAGATGAGGGTTGAAGAGGCGGGGGGAGGTGGGAGGAGATGGGGGGAAGAAGAAGAAGAAGAAGAAGAAGAAGAAGAAGAAGAAGAAGAAGAAGGAGAAGAAGAAGAAGAAAGAAGAAGAAGAGGAAGATAATAATAAGAATTATCAATAATATTAATAATCAACAATGACCATAATACGATAAATAAGTAGAAAGTAGGAAGGGCTAAAAACGAAGATGAAAGAAAGAAAGAAAAACACGAAACAAAAAGAAACAACGAGAATAAAGAACATCCACATAAGTAAAAAAAAGAAAAAAAAATCCCTCTAAAGGTCTTCCTCAAACTTCCTGTCACGCCACGATGTTGCAAATCATTGCAATAGCATCGTGCACATCTCTCTCCAAGACGAAACTAAGGCGAACTTTACAGCCTACTTCATGACAAAATCTAACTCACTGTAACGCTTCCTTGACACACTTAGACGCATCACATGAATCTGACCTTTTAACTCGGTCTCGGAGATTTCATTTTATGTAAATAATAATGAAATCGGGAGTAGTTAGTAGTATTTATGTACACATGTATACACATACACATACACATACACATACACATACACACATACACATACACACACAAACACACACACACACACACACACACACACACACACACACACACACACACACACACACACACACACACATATATATATATATATATATATATATATATATATATATATATATATATATATACATATACACGTGTATATGTACACAAACACACACACACACAATATTGTCTTTCAATATCTATTTTTGGTCGAAAAGCCATTGATAATCAATATGAGCAATTATGATAATGGCAGTAATACCAATAACAACGTAATAATGATGATAATGATGATGATAAAAGTAATGATAATAACACTACAATAGAGATAGTGATGACGACACTACTACAATAACTATTACTATTACTACTAAAAATAATAATTATAACAATACCGCCAACAAAACAATAATAATCAAAACATAATGATAACAATGACAATCACAGCCCACGCCCGGTAGCCCCTCGTGCTCCACCTCGGGACAAAGACCACGCCCGCACCATGCCCCTCGTTGCAATAGCACAAAGGGGTCGCAACACCACCTCTGCAACACGGGCAACAACGAAGCAGGTGGTGGTCGTAAGCAGGCAGGCGGGGGGCGGGCAGGCAAGCAGGCAGCAGGCGAGTAAGTAAGCAGGTGGTGACCGTCGCGTCGGAGGCAGAACCCGATGTCGTAGCGGGAAGCAGGGTACAGGAACGAGAGATTTTGATTTTGATTTTGATGATTGGTGATTGATTTTCTTGATTTTAATTATGTAAAAAAATAAACTAATGAATAAAAAGTAACAAGTGAATGATCACTTCTTCCAATTTTTGATTCCGAATGCACGAGAGAAGATGGACAAAGCATTCATTTCTTTTCCAAGTCTTGCGAGGATCAATTTCCAATGCAGAATCCTACATATCCTCTCTGAAGGTCACTTTTTTTTTCTCTCTCCCCATCACCTTATTCTCTCCCCCCCCCCCCCCTCATTTCACTCTTCCCTGATTTCACGGCGTAATCATCTCATTAAGACCACATTTCACACTGCAAGAGCCGAGGAAGTCATGGGGGGGGGAAGGGAAGGCACTTTAACCCTCTCCCTTTTCAACTAACAAACACACCGCCGCATATACATATATAAACAAAAACACTCGACGGGATACCAACCACGCAAACCCCCCCTCTCCTCCCGCGACACTACCACTCGCCTCTGGTAGCGGAGTGGGGATGGCAGACCCGGGGAGCGAGAACACAACCCGAGTGGGCACGCGGGGTACAGACCCGAGCGGCCGAACTAGCGAGCGAGCGAACGAATGCGCGCGTGTATGTGCGAGAGCGAACGTGTGCGTGCGTCTGTGCGTCTGCGTGGGTACCAGGAGGCGGAGCAAGCGGGGCACCAGCCTCCCCGCACGCCGCGTACCAAGTCACTGGCAGGGCGAGCTTCTTCAACCCCGGCGACGCTGTCCCGGCCCGCCCTCGCCCGCCCGCCCGCCCGCCCGAGATCTCCGCCCTGGCCTCGCCGTGCCCGGGCAGTGGGGCAGCGGAGAGGGGGGAGGGGGGATAGGTAGGGGATAGGTAGGGGCTAGGGTGGGAGGAAAAAAGGGCTGGGGAGGGGGTAGGAGGGGTTGGGGGCATGGGGGTTTGCTGCCCAACGTGCACGGTGCTCGTTCTGGGCTTCCGGAGGATCAGCTTGTTCGGGATAAATCATTCACTTCGGTGTTTTGCCACTGCCCGCTCACTGTCTGTCTCTGTTTCTCGTCTCTCGTCTCTCGTCTCTCTCTCTCTCTCTCTCTCTCTCATTTTCTCCCTCCCTCCCTCCTTATCTTCCTCTCTTCCTCCATTTCTCCCTTTCTTCCTCTATCTCTCCCTTTCTTCCTACATCTCTCCCTTTCTTCCTCCATCTCTCCCTTTCTTCCTCCCTCTCCCCCTCTCTTCCTCCCTCTCTCCCTTTCTTCCTCCCTCTCTCCCTTTCTTCCTCCCTCTCTCCCTTTCTTCCTCCCTCTACCCCTCTCTTCCTCCCTCTCTTCCTCTCTTCCTCCATCTCTCCCCTCCCCCCTTCCCTCTCCCTCTCCCCCTCTCACCCCTCACCCTCTCCCCTTCCCTCCTCCCCCCTCCCTCCCTCTCTCTCTCTCTCGGCTATTGGTAAGAAGATGCGAGGGTTCTGCGCTTTGCTGTGGCCTGGGATTGAGTGTAAACAAGTATTTTTTGTGATTCTTCATTTCACATGTGTGGCGTAATTAAGTGCTGGGAGCGCCGGGCATATGGAGAGACTGAGGGTATGAGGAGGGGAGGAGGGAAGGGGAGAGGAGGGGGAGGTGGGGAAAGGGGAGAGAGGAGGGAGAGGGGGAGGGGAGAGAGGGAGAGAGGAGGGGAGAGGTGGGGAGAGGAGGGGAGAAAGGAGGGAGGAGGGGGAGAGGAGGAAGGAGGGGAGAGGGTATGAGGAGGGAGAAAGGGGGGAGGAGGGGAAGAGGAGAGAAGAGAGGCGGGTGGTGGTGAGAAAGGGGGGCAGAAAGGATAAAGGGGAAGGGGGACGAAGTGAAAAAGGATAGGGGGCGACGAGGGGATAGAAGCAGATAAGGGAAGGGAAGAGGATAGAGGAGACAGAAGGATTCAAGGAATGAGAATAAGAGAAATGGTGGCATAAAATAAGGGATACAGGAATAAAGGAATTAGAAAGCCTTAGGATTGGGGAAAAAATAGTAATTAGGATAGGAGAAGGGAAGAGAACAAATGAGGCTAGCGAAAGGGGAAACAGAGAATGACCTAAGCGTGAACAAGAAGACGAAAAATGAATAGAAGGGACAAATGAAAAACAACAACATATCTAGCAGCAAATGTAGGGAATAAGCAAGGTCGAGATAAAGGAAGGAGGATAGAGAGGAAAGGAGACGAGGCCCAGACGGCGATGGAGGAGGAACCAAAAGGACAGACGATAGATAAGATGATGCAAGAACATGCAAGGACTTCATGAGGGAGATAAGACTGCAAAGAGGAAACACTAGGCTGAGGAATGGGAGACGGGAGACGGCGATAGAAAGTGAGGAGAGGAGAGGAGAGAGGAGAGGGGAGAGGGGGAGAGGGGGAGAGGGGGGGGGGAGGGAGAGGGGGAGGGGGAGAGAGAGGGGGGGAGGGAGAGAGAGGGGGGAGGGAGGGAGAGAGAAAGAGAAAGAGAAAGAGAGAGAGAAAGAGAATGAGAAAGAGAAAGAGAGAAAGAAAGAGAATGAGAAAGAGAAAGAGAGAGAGAGATGCTACTCCTGCTGCGCCATCTGCCGTGCATCAGAGTCCGAGACGACATCCATCCATCCATCCATCCGTCAGTAGACAATGTACCCGTTCGTGGTCTCTCTATCGCACTGTGTGGTATTTATTCATTTTATGGAGCGTCTGCTGCCAGGGCTGAGGAGCGGAGCCTGGGTGTGTTACTCATCCGCCGGACTCATCTGGGATTTACTCACTGTCACTCGTCCGTTTGTTCATCTCTTGTGGATAACACACAGTGTCGTGTTACATCCATACATGACCATCTACAGATATATAATTACGGTCATAAAACGATAAAAAAAAATAAACATAAACAAAAAAGACACACACAAAAACAGACACAGACACCCCCCACCCCCCCACACACAGAACCCTCCCTTCGCCTACACACAGCCAGACAGACACACAAACACACACACAACCCCTCCCAACACACACACAGCCAGACAGACACACAAACACACACACAACTCCCCCCCCCCCCCCACACACACACATACAAACAATTCCACACGACCCCACCCACACCTGTTCCCTCCAACGACAAACCCAAGCGTACAAACAGACAAAAACTCTTCACTTCCGAGGTAAAAATAAACGCCAACACAGATCAACCACGCAGGAGTTTAGCTCAGAGTGACATACTTGAGTTTTTTTTCTTCCTCACCCTTCCTCCTCCTCCTCCTCTTCCTCTTCTTCTACGTCTATCTCTCTTCCTCTTTCTCTCTCTTTCTCTTCTTCTCTCTTCCTCTTCCTCTCCCTCTTTCTCTCTCTCTCTCTCTCTCTCTCTCTCTCTCTCTCTCTCTCTCTCTCTCTCTCTCTCTCTCTCTCTCTCTCTCTCTCTCTCTCTCTCTCTCTGTCTCTCTGTCTCTCTGTCTCTCTGTCTCTCTCTCTCTCTCTCTCCTCTTTCTTTTCCTCCCTTGGTCCCTCTCTCTACAATCCTCTTTCTCTCCTTCTTGTCATTCTCTCCTCCCTCGCTCCCTCCTTCTCCCTTGTTCTACCCCCCCCCCCCAGTATCTGCAAGGAGGATGTCACGCAGCCTCACTTTATCTGCATCTTGAACAGGGTACAAGAGGGGGGGTAAGGGGGGAGGGGTAATAGGGGGGGAGGGGTAGTTGTAGTTGTTGTAGAAGAGGAAGAAGATTAATGGAATGAAGAAGAATGAAGGAGAAAGAATAAACATGGAATAGTGGAAATGAAAAGGGAGGAGGGGAAAGGGGGAAGGAAGGAGGTGAGGAGGAGGAAAGGGGAGGGGAGAGGAGAGGAGAGGAGAGGAGAGGAGAGGAGAGGAGAAGAGAGAAAGGAAAAAAAAGAGAGGAGAGGAGAGAAAGGAAAAAAAAGAGAGGAGAGGAGAGAAAGGAAAAAAAAGAGAGGAGAGGAGAGAAAGGAAAAAAATGAGGAGAGGAGAGGAATGGGGAGGAGAAAGAGAATGAGAGATGCTACTCCTGCTGCGCCATCTGCCGTGCATCAGAGTCCGAGACGACATCCATCCATCCATCCATCCATCCATCCATCCATCCATCCATCCATCCATCCATCCATCCATCCGTCAGTAGACAATGTACCCGTTCGTGGTCTCTCTATCGCACTGTGTGGTATTTATTCATTTTATGGAGCGTCTGCTGCCAGGGCTGAGGAGCGGAGCCTGGGTGTGTTACTCATCCGCCGGACTCATCTGGGATTTACTCACTGTCACTCGTCCGTTTGTTCATCTCTTGTGGATAACACACAGTGTCGTGTTACATCCATACATGACCATCTACAGATATATAATTACGGTCATAAAACGATAAAAAAAAATAAACATAAACAAAAAAGACACACACAAAAACAGACACAGACACCCCCACCCCCCCCAGTATCTGCAAGGAGGATGTCACGCAGCCTCACTTTATCTGCATCTTGAACAGGGTACAAGAGGGGGGTAAGGGGGGAGGGGTAATAGGGGGGGAGGGGTAATAGGGGGGGAGGGGTAATAGGGGGGGAGGGGTAATAGGGGGGGAGGGGTAATAGGGGGGGAGGGGTAGTTGTAGTTGTTGTAGAAGAGGAAGAAGATTAATGGAATGAAGAAGAATGAAGGAGAAAGAATAAACATGGAATAGTGGAAATGAAAAGGGAGGAGGGAAAGGGGGAAGGAAGGAGAGGAGAGGAGAAAAGAGGAAAGGAGAAGAGAGGAGAAAAGAGGAGAGGAGAAAAGAGGAGAGGAGAGGAATGGGGAGGAGAAAAGAGGAGAAGAGAGAAAGGAAAAAAAAGAGAGGAGAGGAGAGAAAGGAAAAAAATGAGGAGAGGAGACGAAGAGGGAAGAGATGGGAAGAGACACGAGAGGAGAGAGGAAAGGAGGGAAGAGACAGAAGGGAGAAGAGGGGAGAGGAGGAGAGGATATGGAAATGATGGAAATGGGGGGGGGCTAGGGAAGGGGAATGCAAAAATACGAAAGAAGAGGTGAAGGAGGGGAGGACGAAGAAGGAAATGGGGGAGAAATGGAGATAATGAGGAGAAGATAGTGGAGGAGATGGCGAGAGAGGAAAAGAGATGACTTGGAGGAGATGAAGGAAGGGGGGAAAAAAGGAAAGGAGACGGAAATGACGATAACAACATGAGATAGGAAAAGGGAGGAAAAAAAAGGTAGGAAGAAAAGTGAGAGGTTGTGAGGAAGATGTTTACGAAATCCTGAATCCCGTGACTCATCTCCTTCAGAGACAGGGCACACCTCTCTCTCTCTCCCTGGATGCTGCAGGCGATTTGAAGCATCCTCATTTCCCATTTCATCTCCTCTTCTGAAAGCCTCCCCCCCCCTATCCCCCTCCCCCTTCCTTCTCTTTCCTTTCCTTTCTTTCGTTTTTTTTTTTATCCGTGTCTTCTTTTCTTTTCTCGCTAATGCCCTTCCTTTTCAATCTACGAGCGTCCTTTATAAAGTTTTTTTTTTTTCTTCCCTCTATTAAGGGGGGTGACTATAGAAACACGTCGGGAAGCAGAAGGGGTTGTGACAGGGGCAAGGGGGGGGAGGTAGGGGCAGGGGTAGAGGGGGAGGGAAGGAGAAAGAGTGGTGGGGGGGGTCTGAATCTATGTGACCCCCCCCCTCTTCTCCCACCTCCCCCCCCCCCCTTACCCCTGTTTTCGGTGCTTTCAATACTCAGCATGACTCACACCCGACCCT